CCCACTAATCAGGGTTTGACTCCCAGGCTCTAGCTCAAAAAAACCCCAAAACCTCACTCAGGCTTCTGCCCCTCTGTGGTACTGGGGTCAGCTCACCCCTGAATACTGAGCCCTCTCTGGTGCTGGGGTCCCCACACTGCAGTGGGCCCCCAATGAGGCCTTCTCCTTCCCCAAATAGCCTCACCCAAGCCACCAGTGTTAACATTAAACAAGAGAGGCAACATGCCTGCTTACTTTAGATGACCATGAGGATGGCTCAGGGCATGGCACAGTCTTGCTGCACCAGCACTGTAGTCATTGGGAGTCCACCTCCCTGCTGCCCCTTTGGCCTTCTCCACTTGCCATTTGTAGGGTCCTGGCCTTCCTCTTCCTGTCACCTGACCAGCTGCAGGGCTTGAGCCTTAACCCCTACTTGACTGGCCAGCCGTGACTGGAAGGTTCTGGATTTAAAGGGACCACCCTGTCTCTTAGTAACAGGGTTAGGGTTCCCTGTTACAGGCAGAAATTTTAATATTTGTTTGTAGCTTCTTGTTTGCTTATCCTACTTGCTGCAGCTGTCTTTTTTACTGCTGTGTCATCCACTGTCCTCTGAGAATAGGGTTTGGGAGTTCTGCACTCAGAGGCTACCTCCAAGTTGTGGCCCATGGTGAGTATAATCCATTCAGAGGCTTGAAAGGTGTCCAAAACCCCATTGAAATCAATAGGACTGCTCCTGGAATAAGAATAGTATAACATGGTCTGTAATCTCCAGTGAGAAAATGACATTGGATGTCAGACTCAAATACTGTGGGATTAGGAGCCATATCTGTACTTAAATAGAAGCCAAAGAGAGAGAATTTTTATTACTAGTATTGCTCAGTTTCTTTTGCTGTGTTTTTTCATCTCCCTCTTCATTTTTCTTCCTTTTGGAAATGTTATGGTATAGTTTGATCCTGCAAATGCTTCTTGTCTGCACTAGGGTTTATAACTGAGAAAACACATTGGCTTCAGTAAGATAATTCACATCTATAAATCCTAAACTGAGAATAAGCATTTGCTACCTGAACAACATTATATTGGGCGTGTCTACATGAGATACTACATTGATGTGGCGTTGGCAGACACAAACTGTGATGCTGCAGTTACATCACTGTAGCAACATGCTTTCTTGCTATAGCACGTTGCTACAGTGACATAGTGGCTAAACAGAACCATGCCACTTCCAAAAAGAAGTACTAAATGATGGCGCAGTAACAACAGTGCTGTCAGGGCACGTGTAGACGCACCCATTGTTAAAGTGTTTGTTAAACGTAAACAGTTCCCTGATACATAACAACTGTAAATGATAACAAGGGGAAAATTGCATAATTTTCATTTTTTTTTAGTTTGGTAGCTGGGCAGGTCAGCTTGGTGATGGAAGAGCCCACATGATTGGAGTGTATACAAACAGGTACAGTATGCTTTATATCAGAATTATCCACAAGCCACATTTCAGCTAAATATCACTTAGAAACTATCCTAGTGGTAAAAACACTAGTACTGTTTTTATAGGTATGGTGAGAGGTGGGAACTACAGCTAAAAGGCTCAGGAAAGACACCATACTCTAGGTACAGTATATTTAAATCCATACATACAGAAGTTTGATTTTTTTTCTCTTTAAATTTTAGAAACAAGACAAATGTTGCCTATCTTTTTGTTCTTTGTAGGGATGGTGATGGAAGAGCTGTACTTCGTTCCTCTGTGCGAGAATTTTTGTGTAGTGAAGCCATGCACTGCCTTGGCATTCCAACAAGCAGAGCTGCTAGGTATTCCTCTTTTCTCTTTCACAGCATTCATGTTTAAAGGTACCATGATGCTGAGTTTTGGGACTGAATTTTGTTGCACTGAACAATGCATCATTGAGGCTTGGCAGCAGGCTTAATGGTTTTTCTGTGGATGCACACTACAGCCAGGGGCAAAAATACACCTCCTTCATTTGTTAGACTGGCAAAACTTCCTAATAATTTCTAGGTCTCATTACTAATTGATTAATTTTTTTTGTGATATACAGTTGGTGATGAGTAAATGAGGTGAGGTTAATAGTGGTGTCTTAAAAAGAGTTACTTTAACGTACAGTGTTGTCAGTTTTAAAAAATAGGTTAAAATTAGCTGAAGAACCATTTCTGATACTAATTCCTTCTTCCAATTTTTATGGGCTTATAATCACAGTTTCCTCTCTCTTTTTAAAAAAAGTGTTTTTCTCTTCATTGTTGTTATATAAAAATCCGACACCAAGGGCAGGATGAATTTGCTATCTGATTAGGTTTTATATGCTGTAGCAGTGTTGGAGTCCCAGGGGCAGCCATTACATCTCCTGGCGACTCCGCAACTGTGCCCGGCCTGCCCCTTCTTGCCCACCACACCTTGATGATATTATTGATATTACTGATAATATTAAGAAAGAGGCTTCCCACAGGCCTTGGCATGAGCCCCAGTCTAATTGGGCCCTCACTGGGTTTCCTTGGCACCCTACCAGTCTCACTACATTATTCCTAGGTCTCAGGCCCCTCACTCTTGAGGCCACTCTTGCTGACTGTGTCCCACAGGGCACCTAAAGCCTTAGGGAATAATTACAAGGCTCCAGTGCTCCCCTGCACCACTCCCCAAGCCTCGCAGGTGTTATCCTAATGTTGATCTCTTGTTGGTCTTTGGTCTCCTCAGCCACCACCCCTTTCCTCTCAGCTAGGCCTTCTAGCCTGGGCCCACTATATCAGACCTGGCTTGAGGTACTAGGTGTCATTTGGCCCTTTTGGGCCCCTGGCCCCTGTCTGCTCTGCTCCTGGCTCCTGTCTGGTCGCACCCCTCCTGGGTGTCAGTGTAACTGCAGCATAAACAATAGGTCCTTTTAAGAAGGCAAACCTTTCCTTCCCTCTAATGCCAGTATACCTTCCAGCCCTGGGCTAGCCTTGTGAGCTCCCCAAGCTTCACTGGGGTTCCACAGGTAAAATATCAGTGCATTCAGGAGCCCTCCTGCACAGAGCTCTTCACCTTGTAGCTGCCCATGAGAGACTAGCTTGCTAGCCCTGGCCCCCTTGGGCCCCTCAGACCCCCGGTGCTGCACACAGCCATTCCTTCAGGCTTTCAGAACCCTGGTCCCACTCGCAGCTGCTCCTCTGGGCTCACAGCTCCTCTGGCAGACACCTCAAATCCTTTAGGGGTGTAACATAAAACAAAGGCTACGTGCCTGTAAACCCCCTGTAAACTGTCCTCTGTTCCCAGGCCTGCAGAATTGTTTAAATAAATCTAAGTCTCTTCATGAGCCTGGCTGCTGGTCTGCTGTCAGGGGCTCCTCACTGCTGGGGAGGGATAGCCTGACTGGTTCAGGCTCTGGGTTTATATAGCTGCCACCTGTGTCCTCTTCCGGTCAGGTGAGTTTCTTATTAGCCCACTTGACCACCTGGACATGCCCTCTCAGGCAGCTTGCTCCCTTAAAGGAGCAGGCACACCCCAGTGCCCCACTACATATGCTTATGCTTAACTCGACACATTTGAATAGTCAATGACATATTTATACATAAAAGTTGTGTAAGTCTATTCAGAACTTAGCTAAGCACTTGTGTAAGTCTATTTAGAAAAAAAGAAAAAATGACTATCTACACAGGTATTGTCAGAAATGCAAAGCAAATGCATGGAAAAAAACAGCTATTTTTGAATCCTTATATTTCATTTACAATAATCTTATATGTTAGTGTAAAGATTGATAAGAAAATTATTTTTAACCAGAAATGAAATTTTAATGAGTGGTGTCTTTTTGAGATCACAATTGGTTTTTCAGTTCTTCCATTTTTTTCTTTAAATTTGTTGGAAATAATTCCCAGAAAAAAATCTAAGAGAATAGCAGGTATTTATTATTAGTGCTCTCCCAGGAAAAAAGCCCCAAGAGATCACATAAATATTTTTATATTAAACCCAACTCTGCTTGAATATAAGCTGTGGGGAGGTGGTAGGGGGACTCTAGGACTGTTATTTTGTATTCCAAGTGAGTTGACTGGCTGGGGTTCAGCCATTTCACTCTAAAGAAAGTAAATATTCTGTGGCAAATACTTTGTACTCAGCTGTCACAGGGCAATTTCGTGGGGTTTCTATGTTTGCAGAGTGTCTGCAAATCTCTCTAGCATTGATTTTAACACATTTGCTCTGCTGGAGTGCAGTGTTTGCAAATGATGTTTTAGAAGGTCTGCTCACTTACTTCAACAAAAGGTCCCAAAGTGTCGACAATTGTCAAAAATCCACACGTCTGTCTAGAAATCAGCATGAAAGCCTCTGGCAAGGTTATGTCCTTCATTGCTGTTGTCTTGACAAATTGCTGAGTTCAGAAAACAGTCTCAAACATTACTCATTTAACTGTGTACCAGTTCTGCCAAATACATAGTATGCCTTATCCCATTGTAGTTGGCAAACTGTTTAGGACTTTCACTGGTGTTGGTAGAACAAAGTCTCTCATAAAAGCCTGCATGAACTTGAAGCCTTTCAGAATTATTTTGTCAAATTTTCCTTTGAAGAAATCAAGCAGATATCCGTATTTGTCCCAATGGGGAGCAGTCGTGTCTCACCAGTTCTAGTTTGTTTACAGAGTTCTTGTTGAGTCTTAGCAGAAGTGCGAAAGGGCCATGTAATTATCCAAGAATGCCCTGCAGAGACTTTTACTCCATTAACTTCATATACTCTGTTCTCAACAGGAAAGCTCCAGTCTACGACTGCAGTGGTACCACATGTGGGAAATAGCTTCTTCTGGCACTGTTGAAATTATAGATTGGAGCTTCCATTGGGCACATTGCACAGAATGTTTCTTCTGTGGTTCGTTTGTTTCTAATAAATATCTAAATTAAAATTTACTTTCCTTATATTCATAAGAGCTGGGCATTCCGAAGCAGGAGCGTTAGGAAGGTGAAATCTAGCCCCCTAAGCCAGATTCATCCCACCAACTGTCAGTGTACCACTCTGAAAACAGGAGATATAGGCACTTGTATTTGCTTGCTGAGCCAGTTGATTTTGGGTGCTGACAGACATGCAGCTCCCCGCTGTAACCCATGGCGCTTCACAAGAAGAGCCATGAATTACATCATTCCCCCAGACCCATGAGTCATTCACTGATGGGTCTGGGGGGTTGAGGGATCGAGCTCCAATTTGGAGCAGCTGCATGCCTGCAGCCACTCTCCCTTAGCGCCACTCCTCCTGCTCCCCACCATTTCTGGTGCTGTCTTCAGAATGGGAGGGGGAGAAAGGGGAGGGAGTTCTATCTGGGGTTTGTCCAGCCTGTGCTGGAGGGTGGGGTTGGGTGTATTGGAGCCCCCCCCACCCTTGGACTTGAAACTTTGAAAATAATACTGGTCTGAAATAATTGACCTATCGGGTACATTGCTAAATCTATTTATTTGGCTATAAGAAAGGTTAGGTCTTGTAGACTGGTTGACGAAGTGTGGATTTTTGTCTGTGGCAGTTGGGGGTTGCAGGGTAGGTGTGTTAATGTTTATTTAATGAAGTTTAAACAAACAGTTGAATCTATAACTACTTTGGATGGTTTCCAATCTTATGAACTGGATGGAAAGTTCAGCTATTCGGAAATACTGACCACTTTTTTGGACTTAATCGTTTCTATATCAGTGAGATGGGATTTGAATATTTCATTTATTTCTATATTTCTATATTTATTATTTGATTTATATCCCTCTCTTTCCTACAATGATCCATTGGTTCTGGTTTCCTTTTTATATTCCTGCAAAGACATTTGTTGCATTTCTAGTTGTATCTTGAAAGAAAAGGCAATTTAATTATTTAGGGAAACCTCAAACTTCAGCTTTTTATTTTTTTGCCCTTCTACCTATTCAGCAATCTGGCTGATTCCTCTTTATGGTTAGTAGCAACTGTTCAGATAATATCTGAAGCCATCAGCTAACAGTCCAAGGTCTGTGTGTAACTAGACGCTACACATCCACGTTCTAGTAGAAAACAGAATTTCTCCCTTCTTTTTGATAGTGAAATATATCTGGGTTTTTAACAGACCCAAATCTAGTTATTTGTGGATCCTGAATGAGTCATTATTTCAGTCCATTGGCAAGGAAAAATTAAAGAACAGTACTCAAACCAGGTAAGACTCTCTGTGCCTAGTTGCAGGGTTAAGGGACCATCTGCCAGACTCTATGATTTCCCAGCCCTCCTCCCAGGAAAAGGGAGAAAATGTTGTACCTCTGGCTGGGTTAAATATCTGCCTGGCAAAAATTAGCTACAAAGCAAACCCAGTTTCCTCACCTTGCTAGTCACTGCTGGTACATTCTTTCAGTAGGCAGAGGTGTAATTAATTATTTCTTTCAACTGTACTGTCTGCTATGCTCCTCATTACTAAAGAGGATCCCAAGTGTGTCTGGAAGAGTTCTAGTACAATACCGCTGGTTCATATAAATATAGGAACCTTCATCACAATTCCTTTTTATATTTTAGTTTTTAATTTTTCGTTAATATACTGCAAGTTTGAGCCTAATATTGATATTAAAATAGCACCAATGGATGATTAGGGCCCTTGCTGTTGTGAGCGCTCTACATCAAGAACTAAAAAAAACCCCTAAACAATCCTTGCCCATGAGAATGCACAGCTTGCGATTATGACAAGATAGTGCAGATAAAAGGATGGCTTGTGGGGATGGAGAACATGCAAGTATGATGAACACTTTTTGCTAATAACATGTACCCCCTCTTCACTGCCTGTCTGCATCATTTGTTGTCCAACAATTACTTATCTTTTCTTTCTTTTTTTTTAAATGAAATAGGATGATAAAATCTGACTGGTTGGGATATAATTTTTTTTTTCACAGTTTAATGGTTTCATTTCTCCTTTCTTACAGCTTGGTTGTAAGTGATGATGATGTGTGGAGAGACCAGTTTTACAATGGAAATGTTAAGAAAGAAAGAGGTAATCAGTGGTTCTTAAAATAATATAGTGCAACATTGTGGCTCCATTCTTCATTGATTTTTATGCATTGTATACTTGTAGTCTCCCATATTTTTTATGACAGATACCTTGAGTGCATAAAGAGTCCTTGTTTAAATGTTACACCTCTGAGAAAATAAGTGCTCAAATGTTTCTTAATTTATCAAAATGAAGGGCTGTGGATAAGACTGCTGTTATAGTGCAGGTGTGGCCAACCTGCAGCATGGGTGCTACAAGTGGCACAGGCAGCCCCTTTGATCCTGCAGATTGAGCAGGAAGCATAGAGAAAGAAGCAGAGCAGCAAATCAGGCAAGGAAAGGGGATCAACATAGCACTCAAAGAGGGTCTGTAGCTGATTTGCCAGAAGTTTGGCCCCCACTGTTGTAGCTTATCTGACCTGCGAGTCTCTTCTCTTTTATAATGTGATTGCAAAAGCCCAACCTGGCAGTACTGGGGAAATCTGCCACCTTTGCATTTAAATTGGTGCAGTTGCATAGATACTAGCAATGCTGAGAGTGCTCATTGCATTGGCCATCCATGATCTTACCCCTGTATTGTGTAGCCTTGTAGAAGGCAGCGCAGATTTTCACCTTAGAAACTAGCCAAAGCAAACCTGTTCTGAAAGGGGTGGAATGACTGGTACAAACACTGGAAACCAGCCTACTTTAGCAGTCAATCCATTCCTTCCTCTGTGGGAGTGAGTGAACTGATGTTAATGTAGTGCTGGGGATTTTCCCTATTATAGTTTATAAAAAGTTGGCCTGATACCGTATACAGAGGGACAGTAAAATACTTATTTTTCAACTTCTTGTAGTATATGAAAGCATCAAAAGCTGGGACCATGGTCTTTAAACAAAAGGCTTAGTTTACCTAATGTTTGTTATAGTAGTTGAGCAGAATCCGTCATCCTGCATGTATCTTAGACTGGAGACTACTGCAAAGTGGCAAAGAATAGTTATAAGAGCAGGAACTCTAAAACCCCTTCAGTGCTTTTGCAGCTATTCCAAGTTTTCTTTGCATTCCAGCCATGCTCACAATGCGTCAGGCATCATCCATATGCATGGGCAAAGGAAGGCACAGTCTTGGCCCTCAGGGCTTTGGAGAGCTGTATCTTTGTTGTTTTTATATAGGAGCAGCAATTCAATATAACCTGTGTGGCAGTTTCTGTCATTTTTGGTCTCAGTCTTTTGAAGTGATTGTAGGGTCCCTTTTACTGTGGATATACCTACTTGAACAAGAAGTTCTTAATCCTTTTTAAGTCAGCAGGTCTAGATGGAAGATAACTTCAGCCAATTCTTTCAGTACCCTAGGATATTTCAGAACCATTAGCTGTCCTTCTTGAGAACTTGTGGAGGTTAGGTGAGGTCCCAGATGATTGTTGAGGAAGCTGGCAGGGGTCATCACGGAACCCTTGGCCCGGCTGTATGAGCATTCATGGTCATCTGGCCAGGTGCTGAAGAATTGGAAACCAGCTAATGTGGTCCCAATTTTTAAGAAAGGGAGGAAGGAGGACCCAAGTAACTATAGGCCCGTAAGCCTCACCTCGGTGCTTGGGAAGATTTTGGAGAGAATCATCAAGGAGCACATCTGTTGGGGGCCAGCAGGGGATATCATGCTCAGGGGCAATCAGCATGGGTTCATCAAAGGCAGGTCCTGCCTGACCAACCTGATTGCCTTTTATGACCAAGTAAGTAAATCCTTGGATGATGGTGTTGCTGTGGATGTAGTCTTTCTAGACTTTAAGAAGGCCTTTGACACTGTCTCTCACCCCATTCTCATCAATAAATTAGGTGACTGTGGCATTGATGCCTACACAGTTGGATGGGTAAAAACTTGGCTGATGGGGCGCACCCAGAGAGTAGTGGTGGACGGGTTGTACTCAACCTGGCGAGATGTGAGCAGTGAGGTCTCCCAGGGCTTGGTCCTTGGGCCCGCACTGTTTAACATCTTCATCAGTGACTTGGATGAGGGGGTTGAAAGCACGTTGTCCAAGTTTGCGCATGACACTAAGATGTGGGATGAGGTGGACACACTTGAAGGGAGAGAGAGGCTGCAACTAGATTTAGACAGGCTACAAAAGTGGGCAGATGAGAATAGGATGGGGTTCAACATAGACAAATACAGGGTGCTGCACCTTGGGAGAAGGAATCCGCAGCATACATACAGGCTGGGGAGTTCCCCTTTTGAAAGCACAGAGGCGGGAAGGGATCTTGGAGTCATTATTGACTCCAAGATGAACATGAGCTGCCAATGCCAGACCACAGCCAGCAAGGCCAGCCATGCCTTGTCATGCATCCAAAGATGCATCTCAGGCCGGTCCAGAGAGGTGATACTCCCCCTCTGTGCAATGTTGGTCAGGCTGCAATTAGAGTACTGCATCCAGTACTGGGCACTGCACTTTAAAAAGGATGTGGCCAGCCTGGACAGAGTTCAGAGGAGGGCCACCCGCTTGGTGAGAGGGCAGCAGGACAGGCCCTATGAGGAGAGACTGAGGGACCTGAACCTATTCAGCCTTGGCAAGAGGAGGCTGAGGGGGGACCTGGTGGCTGCCTACAAACTCATCCAGGGAGATCATCAGCAAATAGGAAGAGCCCTATTCTCCCCAGCACCATCTGGGGTGACGAGGAACAATGGTAATAAGCTGATGGAGAATAGGTTTAGGTTAGAGATCAGAAGGCAATATTTTACAGTTAGGGTGCCCAGAATCTGGAACCAACTTCCTAGGGAAGTGGTCCTCACCCCTACCTTGGGTAAATTCAAAAAGAGGTTAGGTGATCACTTGTCTGGGGTCTTGTGAACCCATCATTCATTCCTGCCTGTGGCAGGGGGTCAGGTTAGATGATCTGATCAGGTCCCTCCTGACTCTAGCTACTATGAAACTATGATTGGAAAAAGTGCATGTATGGTGGCCATCAGGCCTAGGGAACTACAGACCAGTCTGCCTGACCTTGATACCTGGAAAGATCATGGAGCAGGTCCTCAAAAAATCTATTGTGAAGCATCTAGATCAGGGGTGGGCAACTATTTGGGCCAGAGGACCCCTTAGTGAGCTGTCATGGGCCAGGTCAGCACCTGCTCTGCTTGCAACAGCTCACCAAAGCTTCCCTCAGTGGCCCACACACTTGGCCAGGTGAATGGGATGGGGCCAGGGGTGGGCAGGAACCAGCATCTGCACATCTCTTTGACAGGTACCAGTTTCATGGGCAGGGGCATGCTGGGAGCAGATTGTGGTTCTGCACCAGACCCCAACCCCAACCCCATGCTGTCACTGCCTTACTGATCCTGACCCCACCTGCCCATCCTGCTCCTGGACACTGATTCCTGCCCACCTGTGTCCCCATCCTGTCTGTCTAGCCATGCACCCTTCCTCTGGGGGTTCCCAGCTGGTCTCCATGGAGACCCTGCCTGCCTACTCAATCTGCTGCTCCTGGCAGTGAGTGCAGGGCAGGTGAGCGGGGGTTGCCCAGGTAGCAGGGCTGGGTCTGGCAGTGGCAGCCAGAAGGAGCTGCTGCTGTGTGGGTTACTGGGAAGTGAATCCAGCTGGCACGCCACCCCTGCCCCACTGTACACCTGAGGCAGTGGGACCAGCCGCACACCCTGTGGCCCATGGTGCCCCCTGAGCCTTTGTTGGGCAGGGCCAAGGGCCCTGCCATGGGCCTGACAAAATGCCTTGGCAACCTAGGTCTAGCCTGCAGGCTGCTTTTTGCCCACCCCAAGCTAAAGGATAACAAGGTGATTAGGAACAGCCAGCATGGATTCACCAAGAGCAACTCTTGCCTGACCAACCTGATTTCCTTCTGTGATAAAGTGACAGGCTCTGTGGAATGGGGGGAGAGCAGTGAACATGATGTACCTTGACTTTAGCGAGGCTGCTTACACTCTCTCCTATGACATTCTCATTACCAAGCTAAGGAAGTATTGTAAGGTGGATACATAACTAGTTGGAAGTGCAGACTACTTGTGCTTGACAAGTAGTCTGCAGTGGTTCAACATGTAGTTGGGAGAAGGCATCAAGTGAGGTTCCCCAGAGGTGTGTCCATGCTCTGGTATTGTTCAACATCTTCATTAAAGATGTGGACAATGGGATTGAGTGCACACTTGGCAAACTTGCAGATAACTCCCAAATTGGGGGGAGCTGCAGACCCTCTAGAGGGCAGGACGAGGATCCAAAATGACCAGATTGACTGAAAAAGTGGTCCACAACCAATCAGGTGAGATTCAACAAGAAGTGTGAAGTCCTGCACTTGGGATGGAATAATTACAGGCACAAAAACAGTCTGGGGAACTGTTGGCTAGGTCTGGCTAGGATCAGTACCATAACAATGAAGTTGGTGCCCAGGGAAAAGCCCACAGGTGCAGCCTGCCCTCACCCTGTGCACAGATCCACGGGGCACATGTGCTGCATCCCCCCCCCTCCCCATGCTTGCCTTGGAGTGCATGCGGCAGTGGGAGCTGCCCTTCCCCTGTCCCCGTGCCCCCCCAACCGAACTACTTGTGGCTCCATGCCTTGCCCCACCCTGGCTGTGCAGTGCAGCACCTATTGGCGCCCCTTTGCTTTGGTGCCTGCGGTGGTCACCCTGCTCACCCCCTTCTTGCTGCAGTATTGGCTAGGATTATAGAGAAAATGGAGGTGAACTTCTCTCTGTGGTTGTAGGGACCAGGACTACAAGCTGCATCAGAGTAAATTTATGTTGGAGATTTGGAGGAAATGTCGACTTCGAGGGTGGTCAAGCACTGTACAGGTTGCCAAGCAAAATTGTGGACTTACAATCTTTGGATATTTTCAAGAGCAGTTTGGACAGATGCTTGGCTGGAGTGGTTTAGTTAGGGGTGATCCTGCCTTGAGCAGGGAGCTGGACTATATGCCCTTGTGAGTTCCCTTCCAGCCCTACTTTCCTATGATCCATTAAAATATATATGGCATTCCCTTAGAGCTTTATATTCAGTATGTTAAAGGGATTTCCGTGTTAAATGTATCATACAAAAGACCTGTAGTTTTTCAGATAAGACTGCTAGAACAAAACAGGATGGGGGAATTTTGATATTGTGATCCCGTAGAAGGTACGTCTGGACTTTCTAGCCTGTCACCTGAACTTTTTTTTGGTAGGGGTAAGCACGTAGCATCCATGGCCAGTCATAGAAACTTGACTTGATTATTGGTGCATAAAATTTTAACCCTCATTGAGACAGAGATGGAAGAAGAGTTAGCAAAAGGGAGAGGTTGAATGTGCTGATTGCTGGGTGGAAGGAGGGGATCACAGCTGCTTTGATAACTTAACATAGAAACTTGATTTATTTATTGCTATTAAGTTCCTCCTTGGGGATGTGTAAAAGACCTGTGAAAAGGGGAAGTTGAATTTGCTGATGGCTTTTTTTCTGAATAAAAATAGATTCCATGGAGAAAGAGCTGCGTCAGTAGAAGGGAGTGTGGTGATGATGAGAACAGGAGATTTTGGAGTATCTTCCCCTGGAAAATGTCTGGAAAAGAAAACTGGAACAGAGACATGCCCAAAGCATCCTTCTCCCTCTTCACCCCTGTTTTATAGGGGGTTTTTTCCCTTATAGTTTTGGTGTCTTAAGTTAGTTGGCAGGGGCCTTCCATATCAATTCTGCAACATCCTTTTGCTTTAATTTCTTGTGACCAATGATCCTTTTCCTGAAAAGAAGGATTTTCTTGACCCTTTGGTCTGCCAGTGATTTTCAGCTAGGGTGCCATGGCACCCTGGGGTGACTTGAGATTCCTTTAAGTGTGCTGTGGGGTGCCACACAATGTTAGCACTTTTAGATGTACAGACATGATTTACAAGATAAACCCAGAGATCGTAGAATCATAGAAATTAAGGGCTGGAAGGGACCTTGAAAGATCATTGAGTCCAACCCCCCTGCTCTGGGCAGGAATACTGCTGAGATCATATGATCCCAGCAAGGTGTCTGTCTAGTCTCCTCTTGAAGACTTCCAAGGTTGAGGGCTGCACCACCTCCTTGGGAAGTCTATTCCAGATTCTGGTCACCTTTACCGTAGATAAGTTCTTTTTGCATCTAACCTGAAACCATCCTCTGACAGTTTATGGCCATTGCTCCTTATCCTCCCCTGAGGCACCCTAGTGAGCAGTTTTTTCTCCCAGGTCCCGATATTCATCCCTTGTATACTTACAGATGGCCACCAAGTTCCCCCTCAGTCTTCTCTTTCCCAGGCTGAACAGTCCAAGATCTCTTAGTCTTTCCTTATAAGGTTTGTCCTCCAGGCCCTTAATCATTCTTGTTGCCCTTCTCTGGACCATTTCAAGATTCTCCACAACTTTCTTGAAGTGCAGCACCCAGCTGGGGTCTCACCAGTGCCAAGTAGAGAGGAAGTATCCCTTTGTTAGCCCTGCTTGTGATGCATTGGCTAGATTTCAAATAGGAATCCACAGTGTTAAAAACATTCTGACCTGATGTAGTCTTTCTGAATTTTTTGCAACAAACAAATAGCTCTATTGTTTTTTTGTAGTAAAAAAAACAAGTGAAAACTAAGAGCTGGCATTTTCTGAAGGGTGCCTTGAGTTTAATGAGGAGTTCCTTTGATTGAAAAAGTTTGAGAACCACTGATCTGTGTGCTTCTAGGTCAGAATTACAAAATGGTTAGATAACTGAACTACTAGTCACTTTTGAAACGATGCCACTTCTACTTCTGGTTCATTTCTTTTGACCTTTCTGTCTTTCCCCTCATTGTTTATCACATTTTCTTTCTCTGATGAAAATTAGGTTCACTGTCTATTACAGAAGCTCCTTCTCTTTTTTAAATGGGTTTATAGTTAATCATTTTGAAGCAAATTAAACTTCTTGGGTGCATCCAGATGAGTGTGGACATGCAGTACATGCCACTGCAGACCCATCTGTGGCGCCACACACCACACATACAGGGATTCCCTGCATTGTTACTTTGCAGCACGGGGGATTTTTTTGACCCAAAGAGATCCCAGGGTCAAAAATACCCATGCCAAAAGAAAAAGAAGGGCAGCGCACACAGTGGCAGTGCTCACTGCCCCAAACAGGAGCCTGGGTGGCCAGAGCCACACTCTGGCTGCCAGCCAGGCTTCCTGCTGCTGGAGAGCCGCAGCTGCAGTTCCAGGAGGCCCCCAGGACCCCAGGTAAGGCCGCTGGGGCAGCACAGTTGCTGGCCCCAGCCTCCCTTACCCCATCTGGGGTAACCTGCTGAACGCCAGAGTCCCTGGCATGGGCATTCCCTGGGGACAAGTAGCAGCAGCACAAGGTGTGCCTCTGCTACTTGTCCCCAGGGAAATGCATGTTCCTGCTCATCTGGATGGACCCCTTATGTTAAAATGTTGATATGAGAAATTAATGTGTGTGGAGTTATGTTTGTGTAGGTGTGGGTACTATTTATATGTTCCCACATGCAAAAATGCATATGTAATTATTTGCTGTTGTTTTGTGTGTCTTAATTTGTTAATAATCTATTCAAATTTAACATGTGTCTATGTTCTAGGTGCAGTAGTCCTGCGTGTTGCCAAATCATGGTTTCGCATAGGTTCATTAGAAATTTTAGCTCATTCTGGGGAACTGGACTTACAAAGGTTGGAACAAAACTTTCACAGTATCTGTGTTCATTTTAATATAAGTCAAATATATATGAATGTGTAATTTAGGAAATGAACTTTTTTGGTGGGATTCAACTGATTTTACTATTTTCTTTTAAGGAAACACTGATTAATAGATTTACATGTTTATCTCTATGGCCTGATCCTGTAGGAACAGACACATATGCTTAATGTGTAATTAGTTGCATTAGCTGAACAGTTGCGTACATTTTTGTAACCTCAGCACTTACATTTGCAAAATGCTAATGCAACAGGACTTTTTTGGTATGTGGGAAGTAATGTAATTTAAATATGAAATAAACCAGTAATGGAGCTGTATCCTGCAATATATTCCCTAGAAGCATGTAAGATTTAAAATGGAATTATGTTTGTGGCTAACAATTGGAATTGTATGCTTTTTAATATTCCCTGTAGTTTCCTCATCACTGAAATTATGCTGTCCATTTTTACTAAGTTGAAATGCTCTCTTTGAGAGAGCAGTTCTACAGTTTTTATATAAGTAAGATTCTTTGGACATTTATTTGACAGACTGGAGATCTGTGAAAATGGTATTCAAGGAATAACAATTATTTACTCTCCCTTCCCCATTATTTGAAGTTTTGTAGTAGATTTCTGATGTAGTGGATGAAATGAGTATCCAGTCTAACTTCTTGTGGAAGAGCCTGTTCTTTTCCAAAAGAAATCTCATAAACATCTGTGTCTCTCCTTTTGTTCCAGGAGAAAGGTTGTTCTTCGGGCACACATGGAATGTCTGTATATACCCTAAGACTTGGGTTGAACTGTATATATTTTTGGTGGGTGTATGCACAGCCATTGTGAATGGTTTTGCAGAAATTCAAGGCCTATGCACTGAGGGCCTGAATGGTACCCATGGTTGGGATACATGGAGACAATACTTAAGGAACCACAATGACTCTGGCAAGCAGCTCTGAATTTGGTGATAAAAGTTTTCTCTTTGGAAAATTTTGGGATGGAATTTTGTCTTATTTTTTTTATAAGCCAACAATTTAATCACAAAATGTTATTTTCCAGGCCATAAAACTATATGGTGCTGTCTTCTGAGAATTTAGCACTTCAGAAAGGTTTTAAATTCTACATGAGTGCATCTAATAATGTTTTATGAACAAATGTTAGATTTTCTCTTGTTAACAAAATATATACGTGCCTGATCCAAAGCCTGCTGAAATCAGGAGGAGTCTATTTTTCTGACTGCAGGGGACTTGGGATCAGATCATAAATATGGAAAATAGGAGTGATTCCACCACTTGCTTGGTATAACAGTTCTAAAAATGTCAATTTTGCATAAAGAACACTTGATGCTCTTTTTTTTTTTGGCAGATCATTGCTAGACTTCATTATACAAGAACATTTTCCATCAATAAACATGAATGATTCAAACAGATATCTGGTGAGCATTGGAGAGGCTTTCACTTTTCATGAGCATAGGAACAATAGATTACTTACACTAATGATCATGAAAACAACTTTTAAAAAAGGTTGTGCATTGACTGAAGTGACCTTGCAGTTTGTATGAACAGGCATTTTTTTCCCAATTTTTTTCTGTTCTATTTTCACAGTTCTCCCTCCCTACCACAATAAAGAATTTATCTTTATTGTGGTAATGGCACTGCCCCCATGCTTTCTGCATAGTAAACAAATAGTAGTAATGGACTGCAGGTTCCTGCATTGCCCAGAATAAATGCAATATATTTTTTCATTACCATTACACTTTTTATAGATAAGGTATAAGCTGCATGTGCGTATCTATCTCTGAGTGCACTTATATAAGATTGCCATGGAACCAGTTCCTTAGGAGCACCCTGTAAAAGTTCTGAAAGGGATAAAAATGTGTTCCTGGAAATCATAGAGAAGTAGGTTTGGAAAGGACCTCCAGAGGTCATCTAGTCCAACCTCCTGCCTGCGGCAGAATCATCTCTATCCAAACCATCCCAGATGAAATATAAGCTAAACTCTCTGTAGGACTTCCATTATCACAAAGGACTGAAGTAAAAAAAATATATTTGATTTCAGGATTTTTTCTCTAGAGTGGTATCAGAGACTGCAAACTTGATTGCATTGTGGATGTCTGTGGGCTTTGCTCATGGTAAGCTAGGATAATTATTTTTAATTATTAATGTGGAATTAGCAAAATATTATGGTCTCATAACAGTCTTTGTATACAGTGTGTCATAGTGTAAGAGTGATGTTGTAACAGTGGTAGTCCAGAAATTGTGAGAGACAAGGATTTCTTAGGGTAATATCTTTTATTGGACCAACTATATAGTTGGGATCAAATTAGACAACCTTTCAAATGCAAAGCATTCTTCATCAGGTCTGACCAGAACAAGGCAAACATAGCATAGCAAAAAACAGTTATAGGAGGGCTTGAGAAAAATTGCCAGTGGTGGTAGACACAATTAGCAGAAGAAAACAAGCTGATTACAGGGAGATGAAGGCGTATCAGAAGGGATGAGAGTTATTCTTTCCTTCCATGTATGGAAAGAATTTGGGAGTCAGGAAAATTATAATATGCCATCAAACCAATATCAATGTTTGGTTCTTAGTGTCCAGCCAGCTAATGAATTTTTGTTGTTGTATGAGAAATATGGTCCGAACGGGGGGGGGGGGGGGGG